TATAACGAGTCAACAATATAGCCTGAGTGTAATCCAAACGATAGATTGATAAACAGGTTGAACACGAGTATGAAGGTTCATACTCGAGTTCCTATATAGGACACGTGACAGATCTGACAGACGCTGTCGGGTCTACGACAGACTTGACAGCAGCTGTCGCGTCTGTCGTTCATGTGACGTCTAGGCGCCGCCCTCGAGGTTGTCTCAGTTGGCGCCCAGTGAATATTACTACGATACATGTGAGATCTCTGATTGGATCTTAACATATGCATTTAATAGCAGTCACCATAGTCCGCTTCACGCTAGCGCCTCTATAGTTGTCAGGATTCACAGGCAAGCAATGTAGATAGGTACAAGACAGGCAACCAAAGTAGATTGTAGGAGAGACGAATTGCTGTCGGACTAGATCCGACAGCTTCCTAGCTTTTATAGCTAGCTACTGTTAGCGTGGGCCTAATCGTCCCTGGTTACGTCCTGTCTCGATGGATATCCCGTGACCGGAGAGGTGAGGTATAGGATACCTTGGGTTCTAACAATAGTCTCGCCAATCATCCTTACCTAGGAGCACTTTGATAGCGCCAAGCATAGAGAGCATAACGCCTATCTGATTTATATTATACTGGTTCCTGGGCCTTATATCTAGCTTATTAAGTTCATCCTTAATTACCTTAAATTATTTAGTAACCTTATCATATATATTCTTATTATAGTGGTTCTAATATATTGGTCTATTACTCCTGTGTTTGAGTTCTAGATTACGCTTGGTAAATGCCTGAGGCCAGTTCTTGTATGGTGGTTCCGTCGTGGGCGTCGACGCATTCGTCGTAGGCCGCCGGTGGGCGATGCTGAAGGCTAGTGAGGGTAGGTACTTAACCCGGATGGGGGTTCCGAGGGCAGCCATTCGTAGGAGGTACTGTACGAGAGCTTTCTCTTCGGGGTAAGGTATTGCTGGCTTTGGCTTTTGGCCTTTCGTGAGGGCCGTCCATGGTCTCGATGCCACAGCGTGGAGCGAGGGGTCCTTTCGCGTTGTACTCGAGTAACGTTAGCATAGGATTCACGTACGTTTGATGGAAGGCTCTATGCCCGCACAGGGCTGGCGGGCTCCATCGCTATGTTGGGGATGCTTGGAGAATGACCGAGATCCTGCAACCACTGATGTCCTCCTGGAATATGATGGAACCAAACAGAAGCGGACTAAATATAGAAAGGCATCACATTAATACTTAGCTTACGTCCTGGTTGGGCATAGCGTCGTATTAAGATACATGACATAATGTAGGCCCTGCCGCCGATCCCTTGCGCTTGAAACTACTCCTACCCTTTAGAGCTTTCAGACTTTGCGACCTTGCGCGTTTATGTCACGGTACCTCTGGTATCCGCGACACCTCAGCTGCGCCGTTGCCAAGCACCGGCGCACGTGCCTCCTCTTCCCCCTTATCTTCCACCTACTCAACGCATAGCTTACTCCTTACCTATCCTCTTGTATTACACCTGAGTATGTATGTAGTAGCATATTAATTGAGCTTCGTTTGAGTTCCAATTCCGCAACTCGTAGCCTCTCGTGACAGTTTAGCTCTATAAACTTTGTAAGGATAGAGTTTTTAAGGTTCTATTCCTTGATATGCCTCTGAAATCGAATATCTCTTTGATATGTTGCCTAGACGGGACTTCGAACTTGAGACATGAAAAGTCGCTATGAATAGGGCGATTGACAGCATGCTCATAACCTTGTCTCTCCCTAGAACAAGTGGTGTAGAGTAGAAAGTGCGGGCTATTTAATGTATAGACAGGCTTTATAGCTCCAGGAATACACGAACAGATCTATAAATTGCACTAGTAGAGGGTTTTGTTTCGGCACAATAGGTGTTTCGTGAGAGATGGACGTACGTTAGATAGGCTTTAATTTTCTTGCACCGCCTACCTGCACCGCCTACTAGCACCGCTCGTTGATTCTGATGATCCAGAAAGCCTTGTTGTCGCCACTAAGGCTGACTGTCGTTTATCATGCCCTTTTCGCGCCAGGTGCAACTCTATTAACACACTTCCATACAAGTGCACCTCTCAAAATCTGATTTATGCAAAACCCGAAAAAAAAGCTTAGCTATTGTCCCAAGCTGTTATTTTCTTGTCGATATGAAAGGACAAAACGGATTGCGAAGCGGGGGTGGCTGAGCGAGCTGAAAAGGCTGCAGAGGGCGCAGCTTGGACGCCACCGATCTGCGGGTCAAATGACTCAGCTTAACACTGCATTCATTCTCACCTTCTTCACACAACTAATCCTTACTATTTTCTAAACTTGAGAAGACTTTCATACTTCGGTCCAACACTACAACATCGCTGGCGTAGTCTCCATACGAAACACTACCCGAGGGTGCAGCCACAGCCTTGTCCCCAAATAGCTTACGACCGAACGTCCCATTCAACTGCCATCGCTATGCCCAAGCTCAAGACACTAATAGCATGGCCCAGTCCTGGACGAGCGACTCCGGTGCATTTATCAGCAAACGAGTCCGACAGTGGTGACAACAGGGTCGGCACTCGAGGCCGGCGACTCGAGAGATCGGCGGTAGACGAAGATGAAATCGGCGAGAACAAAGAAGATGTCGAGATGGAGGACTGTTCGCGCAAGAGACGGAGAAGCAGAAAGGGTTTGGACAAGAAGTTCGAGTGCCCACACACGGACTGTGGGAAGCAATACTCCCGAGCCGAGCACCTTTACCGACATCAATTGAATCGTACGCCATCCGCTGTCAATAACAGTCTTTTTAGAAAGTTCTAACGAGTATAGATAAACCCAAGCAGATATATCACTGTGACTTCCCAGACTGCAATCGTTGTTTCGTTCGAGAAGACCTTTGTGCAAGGCATAGGGAGCGTCACACAGCAAGAGGGTCACAACTTCTCCGCAAAGACACTTTCTCGCACAACTTGACCCCAATAGTATCCGAAGCAATTTCTGGATCCACTTCCAAGTTCTCTGCTAAGGTGCGTGCCCAGCACCGGCATGTAATGATGATATGCTTACCCATAATGGCTGTCGTAGTCCGAAATATTTCCCCCTTTCGATTGCTCCATTACCAACTCTATACCAGCCATATCACCGCCTTCGGTGTTTGGTACCTCTCCGACCCCTTCTTCGGCTGCATTCTCAGGAAATGCCTCTCCCAAGAACACTTCAATCCCCATCCTAGATCAGGAGCCTTACCTGCAACCATTCGTATACTTGCCTTTTACCGAGCCCCTGAACTCGACCGATTTATCACCAGTTGCAGGGGATCATAACAGCAGTGATGGAGAGCGAACTCATTCCTTGAGGGAGCAAAGATCGCCTTCGACTGACGTAACAACAGTTGCTGCTTCTAGCCCAGCCGGGTCCTTTGGAGATACTCTTACCTTTGTCGACACCAAAGTGAACACGGACGATCGTTTGCTCAACCCAAGTAAATACATTGACAATATCGAGCAGCTCAGGCAGCTGGTGTTTCAGAACTCGGCTATCAAATGCCAGGAGAAGGCAAGCAACATCTCATCGGATGCCTCAGACGGATATGTCCTGCTTCGTGAGCTGTGCAGCCTGATTTTTAGGACCTGTCGAAGCCTACGGAGTCTCCAAGAAGCAGGCTTCTGTGAACACTTCTTCAGTGTATTGGTCCTTGACAAGTCACGTCTCAATGTTGCAAAACTATTGCCCATTGAGATCGCAAGAGTGGAGCAACTCTGGGAAATCTTCGAGGAAACGCTGCTTGACGCAGAGCGCGGTAAAGTCGAGAAAATGAAGGCATCAAGGAAGGAAGGCACCCCAGGATTCAATTTCAAAAGCAACATACTCCAAAAGCTGTCTTCTGCCTGTCGTGATCTCTTATCACAATTACAGGTTATGCCGACTGTTCCAGAACCACCGGATCCTATTCTATTGTTGGCTACAACTGTGCACTTTCTCGATCTTGCAGTTCTCTCATATGTTGGAACACACATTGGAGATGCGATCGAACTATATCGAAGTCAACACGATGATACAGTTCATATTCCTGGTCGTTTCGGCGCTCTTCAGAAAACAAAATGGGGGGAGCTTCATAATGGTGACCATGTCACCTTGCGAAAGAGGCAACTACAGTGCCTCGACAAATTTCTTGGGTATCGAAATGTTTGGGTTTTCCAAAATCATATTAACCCCTCGAGAAATGAGCGACTTTACCTATCAACGGATGTGACCACACTAGCGGACGTGTGGGGGCCGTTGTGGAAATCAAAAGCAGACGCAAAATCACGAAGAATTTCGCGATATGATGTCGGAAATGGCTTCGTCGTGCCATGGGATAGAAATCAAGAGTTTGATCCGCTTCCGTCCTCTCATGGTGAGGGAGGGACCGAAGTGTTCTGCCACTGGATATGTACCCGAGAATGGGACGATGACTATGTTGAGCAACACCAGAAGGAAGTTTTCAGCAAAGACTTCTTTGAATCCGACCGATTGTTGATCGGCGCAAGTGTAAAAGACCGGCTGGCGGTCAATGACCAATGCGCCATCCCGATGGCACGCAAGTTGCAAATCAAGCAAGCAATGAAGAATGCTGGAAATTTAAGGCACCGAGGGACATGTAAGCCACGTCAAGAGAAGGGCTCTCAGACTTATCAAGTCCAAGCTAGTGCCGCGGGTTTTGCAACACTCGGAACGACACTAGAATACAAACGAGTAGAGGGCTTCAACATCAAAGACGCACTCTTACAACGCTGGCGGAATGGATCACGCAACATCAAATACCTCGAGATATGGGGTGGAGTGGAGGTGTCTTTATGTACGGAAAACGCACGGAGAATACAATTACTCCATCTCTTGCGGTCTCCGGGGCTGAGTCGCTATCTCAAGACAATATGCTTCCAATGGAATTCCTCAGAGTGCGAGCTCGCTTACTTTGAAGCCTTGAAGGACCGCCGAAGTTTTCGGAAGTTCTGGAAAGAGCATCCCGAATGGCAACGTAATATCGGTGACGCTATCAATGAATGTTTCATTGCATTAGAAGACACAGGAGTTGACGAAAGAGATGGTGCGCTTTCTGCTTTGTGGGTCGAAGTGTTCGAGAACGAAGATGAGCGTGAAGCAGACGGTTCTGCATCTGAGTTTGCTGTCGCAGAAGAACATCTTGTTGTCCTTCGCCGCTCTGAGCATACCTGGACAGGTCTGCTCAAGGACTCTCCAGAATGCATTACCATGGCTATTACCGAGAGTATTTGTCTGGACTTCGATGATAGCGATGGCTATGGTATGCGGTGTCAGAGCTTGCGTTTTAGTCAAGACGGGAGGAACGCGAGACGACACTCTCCCGGATATTCGGTTTTACAGACCGCAATACTCGTCAACGAAGATCTTCTTGAAGATTCCGGTCAACTATGCTACAGGACCTCCTCACGCAAGCGAAAAATAGTTGAGTGTGAAGAGGAAAAGGCTCAAGCAGAAATGAAGAATGGATCCCGAAGGAAGCAGCACTCTGAAGACTACGCGAGATACCATATGGAATATTTTGGAGACGCTTCTCAAAGTTGGAATGGGTACTGGGATGTAAGCAAATTGAGTGAGGGAACAAAGTTCAGTCTAGGCTCGCACGGCCACTTGAGAATACTGCCTAGATCAAGAAGTGGGTACCCAGTCTTGATGGAATGGCAGCCAGTTCTGAACACCATGGGTAAGGGAGTAAAAATAGAATTGCGGGAAAGAGCACTCGGAAAGAGTGGAGAAAAACATCATTCTGAATACATAGAGGGGGAATATTGGCGCTCTCCTTTACCTTGCTTGCTTCTGTCGAAAGGCAAGCGAGCAACAACGAAGGCAACAAGCTGCGCATGATGTAAGTATCCACCGAACATGGAAGCTGAAGAGCTGAATGTTTGAGTGACAATCCGGATTACCATGAGGCTTAGGCACAACATGCGCGGAGATTTAGGCAAATTAGTCGGGTACAGTAGTAGCTTGAATGACTTACGGCGAGCCGAGGAAGTCACCTGTGTCTGAAGTTATAGTATTAGTACTACCTCAGCCTTGCCTAGAGAAATGCGGCCTTGCATCTCGCTGCTGCGTGTTTGAATTTTTGTGGGATACAGCTGGATCAAGCTGGAATCGCGTCGGGATGATAAGTATTTGCACCACCCAGAGTGTGGCGCAGCAGGTGGCAGAACGCCGACGGACATAGACAATGCGCAGGAACGGCTTGATCACGCTAGCGGGAGGATGGCCGACCCGCTCCTGCCAGGAGCTTGTGAGATGGCGAATTCTATAAGAGGTGAGTTGGTTGACTGGAGGCGTGGCCGGGGTTGAGTTGGATCACAAGGCTGCGGGGCTAAGGTCGGCCCGCTTGCCAAGACTTTACATAGCCACAGGCATGCAGCCACTATACGTAAATTAACTTACACTATAATAATTATGTGGCTGTTTCGCACTAGCCAAGACTAGTAATTATTCTAGTTAGAGGTACTAACTAGGGGTGGTGAACCTACCTAAATTTACCCGCGATAGCGCGCGCACAAGACTAATTGTTAGATATGAGGGCGTGTACTGAGTATCTTACTGTTGTTAGATAAGGGCCTACGAAGTTGCCTTGGTACGGACAGTTGTCAGATTCACACAGTGATTTGATGGATGTCGGTAATCTGGAGATGAGATGAATTGATATCTTCTTGTCATATACGTGTGTTCTGCCAGCTTTTATCGGGTTCCTATCAACTATCCCTTGCTTCGGGGCTGGGTGTCCAGCAAGGGCGGATGGCCAGCTATCCCTGCCACCTGCCCGGAGTACTGT